TAAATTGTCGATAAATGTATTTTTTTTACCATATTTTTTTTTGTTACTTAATATCGAAGGTGAGATAATGATGGTTTAATATAATAGAGTTTATATCACGTGAAAAAACCTTAAGGTTGAGTTAAAAAATTAATTTGTTGTTGTTTGGACTCGACGCAAAAAAAAAAATTAATCATTTATGATGTCAATCACTGTCATTAATTCACCATAAAATTTTTCCACTGTTTATTAACATCGATTATTAAAAAAAATGTAATGTAGAAACGTGTAATTGAATTTTGTAAGCACGATGTATAGAAAAAAAAAATAATGAAATTGAAATAAATATTAGGTACGTTCATGTGCTAATTTGTAATGATCGAGACACTAATTATGTCAGTAAACTCGCGATCACATAGGTATAATGTATAATATAAATATTACATTCAATTGAAGCCGCGGCATACTATCCGTACGTATATTAACAATGTTGTATGCGTATGGTTAAGAGTACATAGCGCACACGAGAGCAACAGGTAGTTCAACTATTGCCGCAACTATGTATTATTCTAAGCGTGTAACAGAAATATTATTTTCCATCATGTTCCTTTCTGAGGCAATGTTCATTAATATTTAATATATTTATCAATATATTCGTGTAATTTTAAATCTTATTTCAATTACATCAATCATTTTATGATGAAAATTATTTTTTTCTTCCACGTAATTTATTTTATCAATTTTTTTGACATTTATGCTTCAGTTGAAATAATTTAATTTTTAATCACTAAAAAGTAATAAAATTTTAAATTACTACAAACAAAAATTTAATTGAATGAAAATCATTTCCTAAAAATAACTCGACTATTTTTGCAATTCATGTGTCTTATTATTTTGGAATGACTAAGCTGAGTTTAAAAATATTTTTCTATTGTCGTAATCACAAATTAGATAGTGAATATTTCCAAACTATTTTTTTTTCTCAAAGCATTCTATTAACATAGATATAATCTATCAAGTTATTATTATTGTTATTTTTATTTCAATAAATAAAAATTGAAGAAACGAAAAAAAAAAAGAATTATAATAAAGATGCCATAGTTCATGGAAAACAATGCGGAAATAATAATAGGAAGCGTACTTTGTATTTATAATATACATTATTCATTAATTAACAATTTATTATATCGATCTGTAAAAAACATCGTTGCTGCTGTTCAATAGCGTAAAATGGGTTTGATTGTTTCATTATCGCGTAAATTAAAAAAAAAGTAAACGGTTATGATAACAGTTGTAAAAAAAAGAAAGAAAAGTAAACGAAAGAAGAATTTAAAATATTTAACATCTCTATAATAAAATTATTTTCCATTCTCAGAAAATAAGATTTTATTATCGAGTTTTACAATCAGCGGTAAAAAAGAGCTACAGATGATCATCAACCCTTGAAACTTTCCGCTCGTAAAACCGCTTTCGGGAATAAAAAAACTAATCCTTGAACTTGGATGATAAACTACCCTGGACATCAGAGCTCTACAGGATATTAAGAAACACCCAGTAACAAAAAACAGGTCCTGAACCACTTGCTGCTATTTAATTTAAAATGCCCAAATGTCTATTGACGTCACAAGTATTTTTTTAATACTCTTAATTCTCTATTTGTTACCTGCTAGCCCGTTATCAGTGGATGTTGACTCTTAATTTAATGTCGATTAATATCTTACATTTTCTCTCTTCTTATTTTTTAAGAAAATTAATATTGTTATTATTGAATATTCAATTTAATAAAAAACATTTTTTTCAGGATAATTTGTCTAAATTTTTTCAAAAAAATTTTTTGTATTTTAACCTTTTAATATATTTTTCAGGTTACTGGGCACTTGACCCTTGTAAATATATGTATACATACAAAATAACAATGTCCTTGTGAAATAGCCTCAAAAAATACGATGGTCAAGTATTACTTTGCGCAAAATAACCTCCTATATAATCGGATTAACCTTGATATTTTAAATAATTATTTATACCAGCGTTAACTAAATAAAATAAAAGATCCAACTTTTTATGACAAAGTACTCTAATTAAAAGGAACCGTTATGAAGAATCAAAAATGATTTTAAATTTCATTAAAATAAATCTTCTTTTATGATATCAAAAATAAATTCTATAAAAGATTTGAAAAATCGCTTGTTAGGACAGTATTTTTGTCATCCATTGTAAGATTATTCGCCATATTGTCGCAAACATTATTATAGGTAGTAACATAAAAAAAAATTTAATATTATTTGCATTGAAAATCAGTGGTTCCAAAAATTTTTTAAACATGATTAAGTTCAAAAGATTTTTCATACCGAATAAATTGTAGTTGTATGTTAGAATTAAAATATCAGGTAGTTTGCACGCGAAATTCCGATTAAGCCTGCAAGCAAAATGCTTGATTATTTTTTTTTATCATTTTTCAAACCTTTGTAACTTCTACCATTTGTTAGTTGTAGACAACAGACAGAAACTAAAAATACTGATCATATAATAAAAATATAAAAAAAATTTTTCTTATTGCTAATAAAATATTCAAATAAAAATAAAAAAAGATACAATCAATAAAAACTAGCGATCAATTAATAAAAGAAAATGATACTTTGTATGTGTACGCAGATAAATAAATAACAAATTATCATACTAAATAAAAATGAAAATTTTCCCAGTGAGTAAAAAATTGAATATTCAAATACACAAAGAAATTAATCAGCGTTGATCGCGGTAGCATTGATTTTTTTAGAATAAATTATTATGATACATATATTATATTCTCGAATTTTCTAGCTATTATTTAACAGATGGCTCTACCGGCAAAAAATAATGATGTCATAGGACAAAAAATGAAAAGTAATTAATTTTTTCACTGGCAACTGAATAGATTCCCGCTTCGTCTACCGTCTGCTAAGTTCTGGTGAACTCGATGATAATGATAATAAGAATGACAATGATAATTGCAATAAGTCCGAATGTTAATAATGGAAATAACAAATACAAATTAACAGAGGACTTTAATAAAAAAACATAACGCGGTGTTGTAGGTAATTATCCAATGCCGAGGAAAATATGCACGGCAAAAAATGGATGAATGATTATTTATTTATCTTAGCCGATAATATGTGTGCCGCGAATATAATTGATGGGGTATTAACTATTATCTATCGGCTACTACCGACTGCCACTAGATTACCAGTTAATAGCTAGTTGTATTATTGCTATTGCTAATACTATTCTCATGTATTATATATTTGTGACGCATACAGTCTTCAAAACATATATGATATATCAACGCTATTATTTACACCTATCGTGCTTGAAAATAATTATTTATTGCAAAGTAAGCTATGCAATAAAAAGTTTAATATGCGTCACTATTTCATGATTTCTTTGTAAATTAATTACATATGTACTTTTAATGTATGATGAAAATTTATCTGGAATTATGATGAAAAATATTGTGGATAAATAACAAATTCCTTTAGAAAAAAAATTTTATTGGGAAATTGAAAATGTTAGGAATTAAAAGTGAGCGATTTATTGCAAAAAAATTTGATTTAAAATCAGATAATTACTAATAATTTTTGAATTTTTAATTACTAATTTTTTTTAATCGGAAGAATTTTTTTGAAATATTTTATAATTTGTAAAAAAATTGAAAAATATTTTTAGAAGTTCCAAATTAAAAAAAAAAAAATTATTTTCTGATTTTTGTAACGAAAAATTAATTTACAAATTGAAAATGGTACTTACGAACGGATAATCCAGCGTAACAAAACATTTTTAGTCTAATTGATTTCTCCCTTCTGTTTTGAATCAAATACCGATACTTTTAAATTTGAAAAAAAAAAAAAAAAAAAAAAAAAAAAAAAACTACGTAATAAAATTCTCCATCAATAGAATGAAAAACAGAAAATAAACAACACTAAAAATTAATAAAACAATGTAATGTAACCATTTGCTTTATCCGATTGGGTAAATTTATTAGCGAACAAAATCAATGACCATTCCGACTGATGGCTCACCCGGAATAATTGACTTTTCAAAATTATGAGATTACTCTTTATTCACTCGGACAACTGATGATAAATAACGTAACATCATTTATAACAAGTATGTATGTGTATCGAGCTTGCTGTTACAGCGAACGTCCACGTTGTCGGCTTACAAGTTGATAAGCTCAACGAAGAGAAGAAACTTATGAGTGATAGTCACAGATATCAGCGACCTATTATCTATTTAGGTCTGAGGATGAAACTTTGGACGTTAATTTAATGTTTCTTGGTGTAGATGCAAACCAGCCGCATTGCACTAAATTAAAGGCAATCTTAATTCTAAGAGAAATTTAATTGTCTCCGGAGGAATAAATTTTTGAGGAAGAAATATTCAGCGACATTGACAAAAATTTTATATCATCGATTTGTCGCTTAATAAAAAAATAATAAATTTGTTTGCAAAATAATAAAATTGATTTTTCAATTTCATATTGAAGTTTTTAATTTTAATGTAATGTACAGAAATAAAGTAATAAAAATATTTTTTTGATAAGAAAAAATTAGTGACAATTGACATTAAGATTGATAAATACAATAATTTATAATTTACAACAATGATTTACTTTATTATTTACTAATAATAACACAGCTGCGGAATGTAAGTATCTTTATCGCTGGGACATAAATTATTCATTGTTATTATTATTATTATTATTATTATTATTATTATTACATTACAAATTAAAAGAAAAATATCATTTATTTATGGTAATAAAACTAATTATTTAACCTGTTAAATAAAATCCTCAATCTCTTAACTTCAAGTAAGGCTGTCGTTTTTTTTTTTCTGACGGTAACCTTAAAAATAACTTTTTACAAATGATTAAACTAAAAAAATTACTAGTTTTATTGAAATAAAATGTTAAGTAGGTGATGATAATGACTTTTATTAATCGGGGGTACTGTTTAATGAGCTTGAGCTTATAAGAAAGTATAATGAAGCGAGGCGACCCGGCAAATTGGTCAACTCCCAAGGATTTTACGGACGAGGAAGTGTCATTCGATTATACCGATCTCAGGATTAATGGTGTCGACAAACACGCCGAGGTGAATGTATCCAGCGACGACGAGATCGATGAGGACCTCGAGGCCGAATATCTAAGACTCAACAGAATCCTGGATCTTCCCGCAGACTCTTATTCGTTTACAAAATTGAAAACTAATCTCAAATTGAATAAATATGACACGCGTTCGGGGACCACGCACATGTTCATGCACAAATTTTCGCCTTTTTCGCGGGGGTTACAGGTAACTAATAACAAATTAATTAATTAAAATACGAGCAATAAATTATGAATAAAAATAAAATTTCATTATTTATTACACTTATTGTTTACATAAAACTGCATACTAATGAGTAAAAACATTGTTAGGGTGCAGCGATAGCGATCTCGGCGATCGCAACAACCGGCTTGTTGAAGGCCCACCTCTGGAACGAGTCGGTGATCGATCAGATCCTCGAGGACGGTGACACGTACTACTGCGCCTCCTACAAGCATCTGGGAGTCAAAGATCGGCGATCTCTGACAGTATGTGATTTAAAAGAATCCTTCGTTGTCCAACACACGCATCAAGCTCGAGTGTTGATCAGCGACGCCGTTTACACGGGTCTTTTTAACCCGGAAACTCCTACGGATTTACACATTATCAAAGCTATTAAATTGTTTTTTGATGATTATCCATCGGGTATTTTGACCTCCGCTAGATTGAATGTATCAATTTGGCAAGATAGCAGTGATGACAATAATAATTACTGTGTCTTCGATGGACAGCCAAGGTCGGAGGATCTGGAGCCTGATCCTGAAGGAGTTGCAAAATTAATGATCCTGCCGAACCTCGCGTCTGTTTTGTGCCTAATTTTGGAGAAAAGCAATCTAAATAAAGATTATTTCGTCTTATATCCAATAAAAATCGCGTCGATTTTGCGCATCGATAATGAATTTGATTTATTCTCGCGAGATAATGAGAACAAAAATGAAAAGTCAATGCCACGTGAGATTAAAAGATACCCGAGCGGTTATGACATTCAAGGACCCCGGGCACTCGTCAGAGCCAGTATTCATTTAACGCACGCGAATGTACCAGAAATAATCCGCGGACATTCTCATTTGATCATCGCATTAAGTGCGATAATATATTCGCGGCTGATCAATGCTAATAAATGGACGGCTTCCGTTATCGATTTAATTTTCAATCAGTCTCAAATTTATTTTGTCGATTTACTTCGGGCACTTGGGAAAAAAATCGACGAGCTATTTAGTTTGACCGTCGACCAAATTTTGACGGACGTTTTTTTGGGCGTCTATAAAGCTAAACTAAAAATAACCGAAAATGTTGTTCCAGGTCAGGCAAAAAAAGGCAAAGGAAAGGGAAAACTTACCCTTGAAACGGGGATAAGAGAATTTTTTGGCACTTGTGATTGCGGTGTTTTGGAAATCAAGAAAATATTCTACGCGTTTTGGAAAACTGGAGAAAAATTCTACTTTTTTGACCCGTTTGGCTGTGATGGTCAAGGATTCAGAGTGGATGCGACTGATGCTGCTTCGGATGACCCAAGAATTGTGGAAAGGTTCAATACTGCTGTCGCGTGTGTCACAATGCACACTGCAATTGGCGAATTAGTGGAAATTATTCGGGAAAACACTGCGAGTACTGAGAAAGATCCTTTTATTTTGCATGGAGTAAAAGTTTTATACGTTACTGCGGGGGCAGAAGGTTTTCAAAATGAAGTAATTTATCGCGAGCCCAAAACTAATCGACGACCAGAACCTAACGTTGAGTTGGTACCTTGTAATGGAGGAATTAGAAAAGAAATAGTTGATGATAATCCTAAACCACGTGCTTTTGCCGAAAGAACTGGAGATAAAGCCAATCAGTGGCCGGAGTTGATTGAAAATGCAGAGGCTTTTGTGATGCCGAGAGTTGGTCTTGATGACAGTGGTGGTAAGGGCTTTAGAGTCGTTAATTCTAAACGTTTGATATTGCATGGGAGCAAGAATTGTTTCGCTGGAGACTATCAGGAGAGTTTAAGAGGCAAGCAAGGATTACTGATGGCGATCGTTGCAATGGCATTTTCAAAGGTGAAGGATCCTTCGTTGTGGACCGGATATGATTTGGATAATGTTTTGGATGTTGGTAACAGAATTTGTTTTACTTTTTCTGGGGGTGAAGAAGAAAGTGAAGAAGAGGACGAGGAAGAGAAAGAGGAAGATGAGGATGAAGAAGAAGAAGATGACGATAAAGAAGATGAAGATGATGAGGATGAAGATGATGAACAAGTTTCTTATAAAGACATTTCAAAACTTCCTAATAAAATAAAGTTCGATAAAAAAACAGTAAACTTAAAGAAAAAACGGGCAATCATTGAAGGAAACGCTGAGCCAATAGTTAACATTGGAGAGGCATTCGGGAGATATTTCAAAAGATACAATGAATTGATTTTAGAAAATAAGGGACTGGTTTATGGGATATGGAAAGAAAGTAACTTGTATTATTTGTTTAATCCTTACGGATGTGATGCGGAAGGCTGGAGATTAAAGGATCATCCTGCGGGACTTGTTGTCATGGATAGTATTAATGAGCTGGTTGACTTGATTTATGGTACTTTGGAGTTCAATGACAGGAAGTTTAGTATTCATTTTGTGCAAATAAAGTCTGTATTGCCGGATTATATTGCTGATGATGTCGATGAACCGAGTGAGTTTGAAAAGTATCAGACCCAGTTTTTGCCGTTGACAGATGATGATTTGGTAGCTTTGGCAGGAGATGAAAAGGCGGAAGATGATAAAGAAAAAGAAGAAGAAGAAGATGATGATGATGATGATGAAACTGATGAAAGTGAAGATGAAGATGAAGAAACTGAAGAAGACACGATTAAAGAAGAAGAAGAAATCGTAGAACTGGATCCTTGGGCAGAAATTTCTGAACAAGAACCAACAATTTCTCCGGATCAATTGAACTTTTACTTGCTGACGGCGAATGTTGATTTAGAAGAAGAAGAATTAAGCCCAGAAGCTAAAGAAGCAATTGAGTATGAAAAACTAAAGTACAATCATCCGCCTCCCTACGTGCTTCCGAATGATAAGGTTCTTGAAATTCTTCTGTCTGCGAAGAAAGCGTTACAGTCAGTGCCTTCTCTGGTCTCTTGTTTTTCCGTCGACTCTAAACTGGCTGTTAAGACTAATTTAGAAGCATTTGACTTGGCAGCAGAGACAGTTAGTGTAACTTCAAATGAAAATAGGTCAAAAATGATTCGTTTGATGGCGCATAAGTATTTTTATTCAAGGATCCCTCCGATTGGTTACACCCCGCTGCGAGCGATCAATGAGAAGTTTATTTACGATGAAAGTGAAGATTTGAAAGATGAAAAGCGTGACGAAAAAGTAGAAGATGAAAAGAGTCTTTTAGCTTTATATCATCAAGAAATCTCTGATGATACGCGAATCGTGCCGATAATTATTCCTTTGGGGCCTGTTATCCAAACACCTACACCGATGATAAAAATAAAACCATGCACTGAAATCGAACGACGACGTTGTAATTTATCGGAAAAAGATGAGAAAAATGAAATATTGAGCAAGCTCGTTTGCAAAACTGAAGACGTTATTTTTGATTTAATTTTTCCGAAGCCTAATTTTGATAACCCCAAAGTGCGTACACTTGAAAGTGAAGAAAGTGAATCACAGAAATTTCCAACTGACGATGAAGAAGAAGAGGCAGTAATGCCGAGGGGCTTTACAAAAACTTCAGACAGTATCTCGGTGATTCAAGGCACTCAGTTTCTCAAAAATCGCGATGAAGGTGACGATTGTCAGTTTAAATCGTGTTTCTTCGCTGCAATTTTGTGCATCCTGGCAAAAGTGCAATTGAGATTAGATTACTTCAACAGTAACTTGATAGATGATTTGGTTTTAAGCGCAGAAGATTTGTTTCAGCAGGCAAGACTATCAAAATATTTGGTCCAAAATTGGACTTACACAATCCAAATGTTCGGAGTAGGTTTTAAAATAATATTGACCGAAGAAATTTACGCTGAACCGGATATTTACCCCGTCGACGAGCTACCTCGTGTTCTAGAAAGTTATTTACAGAAAAATTCTACTGGGATATTAATTTTTGAAAATGCCTCTTTGGCTTTCTGGTCTACAAATAATTTTTATTACTTATTTGACCCATATGCATGCGACAAAGACGGGTACGCTAATGAAGAGGGCGCAGCGTGTCTTTTAGAGTTTGCTTCGATAGAGACTTTTCTGGAAAAGATTCAGCGGTACACGGGAGTGGATACTTCCATGCCTTTCAGAATTTACACGCTTAGTATAAAGAGTCTAGAGTGGTTGACTGATAAAAATCGAAAACAGGCGAAGAAGACTAATGAATTCGTAGAAATTGGTTGCGATAAAGGTGAAGTGACTGCGGGGGTAGAGGTGGATTTTATAGAAGAAGTGAAAGAAATTTTGTCGCAGGATGCATCGTTGATTGAGTTACCGAAGTGGACCAACAGCAAAGAAGTGAATTTAATTGATTGCAACTCGGATCGGCAGAGTTGTTCGAACAGTTTTGTTCCTTTGAAGAATTTAAGTGTGTCAATGCTGGAAGTTAGAGTAATTGAAAATGATGTTACGCGACCGGATAATCCACCATTTAAAGTTATTAATCCCGAGTCTTTATCTTCATCTCGTTTTCTGTCAGCAGATGAAAAAGAAGATCTTTTAAGGCCTTTGGGAAATGTTGATGCGACAAAGAAATCCCCAAGTCCATCAGAACAGACGACAATGAGGCAAAAGCCATTTGACAGGAAATTCAACCACCACTCTATTCTCCTACTCCCACTTGATTTATGTGTGATGGCGTGGTCCTGTATTCATCGGCCACATTTGTGGGGTGCAAGAACAATAAGGTCTATATACCAAGCCAGCAGAGATTTAGCTTTTGACAGCCTCCTAGCAGCTCAAGACTCGTCCGTGAGTGACATGACAGATGGTCTTTTAAGTGAATTTAATATCGCCAACTACCGGTTTAACGCGGTATTCGCACCTCTGCACACCGGGACGCTCTACAAAACACAGGGATGGAATTTAGCTATGTCTCTTGATAAGATTTTCAGCGCTCCTATTTATAGCGGAGCTGTGATAGTCTGTGGGAAGGCTCATATAGGTATAATGAAAAAAGGAGATGACTTTTATGCCTGGTGGCCGAATATCGGTGGAAAAACACTCAAAATAATAACATCGACAGTCCAGGAGGATTTTTTGAAAATTATTGTGCACATTATCGGTGAAGACGAAGAAATTGATTTCAAAATAAGAGTGATAACTATTTCTTATGCCCAAAAAATGGATCCAGACTGTCTGGAGTCGACTGGCTTGCATGAGTCATTGGTGCCTTCTTCTCTGCCTCAAATCCATCGCAAGGATACCGATAATTACGATTTGAAAACTCTTTTGCACCCAGTTCTGCCGCGAAACCAGCCGATCTTCATTTTTGGGACCGCCGGCTACCAAAAGTTCGAGCAGATAAAAGAGCCGGGTATCAAACGCTGCTATTTTGCGGCCCTAATTTCAGTCCTGATAAAACGGGATATTATTCAGAACCCTGTATTTAGCGTAATTGACAGAATACTCCAGATTTCTGAGGAGATTTACCGAGAAATAAAGGACCCCAAATACCACAAGGAACATATTATCAGGAATGTCAGAGTAATGAACCGATTCTTTGACTTTCGTGACGTAGCTTCTCCTTTATACGAATTGGGTCCCAATTCCAACAGCAAAACTGGTAATTTCAATCTATTAAAGAAGCAATTGCAGCGACATTTAAAGACTCACAATGACGGTATTTTGCATCTGAGCAACTGCTGCTACGGATTTTGGTATTGCCAGTCAACAAACACTTATTACTACTTGGATCCTTATCAAAACAACTCCACAGGCAAGAGGTCAACGAACGGAGTCGGTTGTTTAGCTATTTTTCCTTGTCTTGATCAAATGATAAAAGCTATTTTGGGTAATTGTATTGCAGATACGACCGGTTTTTTTATTCACTCGATCCACGTCGAAACAATAGACGTGTTAAGGCTCGGTAAATTCGTCGAAGATCCGATGTGGGTTTATCTAGATTACCAGTGGAGTTTCAGCCACTCATTAGTGTCCGGTAAATTCCACTCAAAGACAAAGCCAAGGAAGAACAAAGAGCAAGTGACTAAATCACCACAAGTGGATGCTGATGTCAGGATGTGGAATAATTACGTGGTAGAGATTCCTGAGTTGATTTACTCTCTCTGGGGGACAATCGGTGCCTATGACAAGAGGTTCGGTGACCACGTAGGCAGAAATCAATCTGCTATTTGCGTTACATTACTCGCGATGCAGTTCCTTTGCCGCCCTTCCAATTGGGATGCGTCGATTCTTGACGCCTCAGTCATTTTCGGAGACTGTTTTTTCGCTGAAAGTTTTATGAAGAGAAAAGGTGAATGTGAAGGGCAGAAGTGGAACTTTTATCTCGGAAAAAGTTTGAAAATCTTCCCTCACAGTTGGACAATTGAATATGACACGCCTAAGTGCGGAATTCTGTACGGTGGTCAGGATAGATTGACCCTCGCAGCCGCACTCAAATTAACTTTCGATGAATCATCTTTTTCGGATGTCGTGATAAAATGTGCTAATGCAATGCTGGCTGTTTCGGCGAAACCCGATGGCTTTTATGCCATTGATCCCGGGTGGACCGGACCACCTTTATTCCCAAGGCAACGCGGGGCTATTTATGTCCTGAGGTGCCGAAATTTTAATGCTCTTGTTTATGCTCTTGTTAAAATTATTAACAGCAATCAGCGGGAGGAATTTATTATTCTGCCTCTAAGGTTTTATTTTCAACAACATTGCGCGGATTCGGGGATTGAAAATCAATTTCAGCTGTACAATTTCAATAATTATACCCCCGGGGTTGCAAAAAATTGTGGTAAGAAGTTTAACATTGCCGGTAATGAAGAAATTTACACTAAGTACCGGAACAGTGTCAAGCGCGGTCTCTGTTCCAATCTCGAAAATCCTGAAGTACCTTCCGTTGTTCCGAGGTTGAATTTCGAGGCAATGAAAAATGTGAAAATCAGCACTGCGTGGCACAAAAATGTTGGAAAGCGTAAAGTCGATCTATCCAACTCGAAAGTTATGAGGAAAAAAATCAAGTCCAGCAAAGATTCGGCCTGCGATGATTACCCGAGAACAGTAGATTTCTCGAACAAAGAAAGTGCAAAGGCCAAGAAATTTTTTGGGAGAAAAGTCAAGAAGGAGGATAAACTTTTAGAACCGATCGATTGCTATCCAAGGCGCAAATTCTTGACAAACAAAGGCAGAGAAGAATTTAAGATGCGGGTTAGAGATATGAGAGATGATTTTTATAAAAATTACACGCATCGAATTCCTTTTCAGCTTAGTGAATCAGTTATTGGGGAAGGTGAAAGTGAGGGTGGGAGTGTCGGTGAAGTAATGAATAGAATACTGAATTTGTTGTAAATTTTATTGAATTGAAAATAAAAAATTAATAAAACATGTACAAAATGATATTTTATTATAAACTTATTATTGTAATTATTTTATTTTATTTTATTATATTATATTATATTATTTTATACTATATATAATGTATAATAATATTGGACGGTTGAAATGGCTAGATATAAGTTGTAAGTTTTGAATATTAATTATTAATTATAATAATGAAAATAGGTGTTACGTAAAGAGAGGCTCATATCATACAGAGTATATTAATTTGAAATTATCAATAATTATATTCAATAATGGCCTTTTTTTCGACCGCGTTTATTATTGTGAGATGAGATATAACATCAGGATGCAATGATTTTAATTCCGAGACAGTTTGAAAAAAGTATCAATAAACTTGATTACCATTAATAATTGATGACACAATTGTTGTAAAAAATGGGTAATTATAAAAAAATTCAAAGAACAATATTGTATTTTTTACTTAATTTCTGTTGAAAAAATATAATAATTATCTATGGATCGAAGGTTGATACATAAATTACATCTGGCATCATATTGTACGTCATTGGCTCTCAATTAAACAACACAGAATAATAAGTAATATTTAATATTTAATTATCGATCTCTTGCATTACATACTACTTTTATGTAACCAAATTTCATTTTATCATTATTTTTATTTTACGCCTATCATTAATTGTCAATTATTAAATAATAACTTTAAAGTAACTTGACTTTATAGTGCATTTCAAATGGTACGAAGTTATTTTCATTATCATAGAATTAGTTTTATAGAATAATTAAGTACGTCATATTGCTCAATAAATTCTTAAATATTAAATGCAATCAGATAACTTCGATATTCAATTCTCCGTATAGGATATTAACAATTATTATTTATATTAATTGTGATTATTTATAAAAGTGCTAAGGCCGTTTTAGTTTAATTCGATAATTTAGTGTTGTGACGGAGGATTATTTGAACATTGGTGCATTTTTTTTTGCATTTAAAAAATAAAAAATTAATGTATAAAGTTTAAGTTAGTTTTTGACAACTGGCTCCTCGGTCCCGTCTGTTTTGGTGTATAGAATTTCAGCATACTCTGTTTTGTCTTCGCTGACACGTCGTGGGGTGGGATTTGGCTCTCGCGGAGTCAAATCTAGTTCTGCGTAGACCAGGCCGCCTTCTGGATTCACTTTTTCACCATTGGATTCAGGAATCTGCATAATAAATATAAAAAAAAAAAAAAAAATTAGTTTGAACTTAAAAATCATTGATAGTAAAAAGTATATTGAAGAATTTTGTTATTAAATTGTCAATAAAACGGCGGAAGTAATTGAATTAACTGTGACAATTATTGGCATAAATTACTCAAGCTATTATTAAGTTGGTAAAAAATCATTATGATCTAATCGATAACGCTGTAGATATTAATTAACTGTCTATATGGATTAAGAACGATCAGGAATGATAAGATAATTAAAAATACTTTATTAATATTACTATCTTAAGCTGTTCTATTCTGTACCTACCAAAAGTTATTTTATTATTAATGAAATTTGATGCAATTAAAAATAAATAATGTTTATCCTGTGTAATAATTTAATAGTTTTGTCGAAATTCGGCCAAAATTTATGACGATGGTTAATATTTAAATTCTGTACAAGTTTGATGAAGATCTTGAAATAGTTAAGCTGTAGCAATCGCAGGATTATAATTAACTTATAATTATATTGGACATCAATCTTCTCAACTTCATCGATTAGCTTACATTTTAATTTAAAAATTTCATCTAGTAGATTAATTTAATACTAGAATTTAAAAAAGTTTGGAAAATCCAAAAGTGCACGACTCATAATGCTCATTTAATTATGAAATATTAATAAAATAAAGAATAATAAATTTTAAATTAAAAAAAAAAAACAGCTGTACTAGGAAGGTAGTGTACAGGCGCTCCTGGTGGAATAAATGTACATAATATCTATACACAGAAAAAAAATTTACTTGAATCAAGTAAATAATTTTGAAGAATTTTATCTTCTTGATTTGAGTAGAAAAATTCTTAAACTAAGAAATTTTTCTTGGTTTAAGTCAATTTTACTCGATTCAAGAATTTTTTGTCTTGATCCAAAAGACAATGAAACTCTTCAAAATTATTTTCTTGGTTTAAGAATTTTTCTCTTGATTCAAGTTAATATTTTTTTCTGTCTAGATATAGATATATACACAGTAAAAAATTTTGTGTCACTGCGTCAAAAAATGAATTTTTCTCTTGATTCAAGTTAATATTTTTTTCTGTCTAGATATAGATATATACACAGTAAAAAATTTTGTGTCACTGCGTCAAAAAATTTTGTGTTGAATATTTAACTCTTTTTTGTGTTAATTTAACATTTTTCTGTGTTAATTTAACACAATAAATGTTAAATTTACACAATAAAGTGTTAAATTTTTAACGCAATAACGCAAAATTTTTTACTGTGTTGATATAAAGTCTTGTAGTTTTCGTTTTTATTAATCGTAATTAAACGACACTGAACTAACTAGCCATTTGCATTCGGTGACCTACAATTGTCACTAAGAATTTAAAAAAAAAAAAATTTAACTCAAATAATGGATTTTTTCACAAGTTAAAATATTTCTAAAGTTTCATACCCGACGGACAGGAAATTTTTTTGACCTATTTTGATGTTTTTTTCCGTTTCTATTACACTAAATAAATTTTTAAAAAGTATGGAATTAATCTCCATTAAATTATCTCGTGAACTAGCAAGACTATAATAATAAAAATAGTTGCCAAAATGAGGCGAAAAAAATTTTTCAATCGTAAAGCACTCTCTGATGCTTTGCATCATGAGTCGTGCAAAATGGATTTTTAGAAAAAAAAAATTATTAATTTACCTTTTCATCATCGACAGTAACAACAGTCTTCATCGTATCGGTGTCAGAACCAGAAACTTTGTCCTTATTGCGTTTAAAAAGTTGAGTCAACATAATTTTAGGTCTCCTCGGTCTCCCGGATCCAGAATCGACTTCAGTTCTTGAGTAACGTCCAGCGCTCTCAGTGTCGCTTCTACATATTATTTAAAATTATTATAAAAAAAATAAATCAATTAATTTTTTTGATTAATCTAATGAAATTAATATTCAATAAACATTTAACACAAAGCATGACATTTTTCATTTATATGACAGCAGTCAAGTTAAATTAATTTTTTTTAATTAATTAATAAACTATTTTTTATGTTTTTTAATTATTATTTTTTGTAACTGCGTTGTTAATTAAAACAAGTTCTTTGAGACGGCGATAGTACTAATTACAGAGTTGGAAATTATTCGTTCGATATTTTTTGTTAAAAAATTCATTTATTTTTTTAGTCCTATACACCTATCAAAATTATAATTACCGTCGCGGTAATATTATATATATTACAATGAGGGTAATTTATTTATGTAAAATTAGACGGTACAGTAATTAGACGGTTATTTATTATTATGCAGACTTGTTTTTGTTATATATTTTTTTTTTTTAATATAATTTACACTGAAAAAAATTAGTAATTAATACGAGATGATGCGTGTCATTAAAACTGTCTGGTCATTTCAATTACAAAGTAATTGATTTTATTGTAATTAATATTTAATTGATTGATTAGAAGTTGCTATTATGATTTATTATTAATTTTGTTACAGTCAATCGAAATAAAATCTTTTTTTTTTTTTATTTTAATATTAGCCCATTTATTAAATTGAAATAAAATTATTTATAAAATAAATAGTATTAAAAAATGACTGATTAAATTTAATAAAAAAATTTGAAGTAATTTTTTCATTCAAATTAATTTTAATTTTTTTTAATTTAAAGGTTTTATTATAATAAAATGATTTTATTTCAATGCTTCATAATTAATATAAAAATTATATACTAATTGATTGTAACACCTTAGGAAAAAATTTTTTACCCATTTTAAATAATGATTTTAATTTTCACAACTACATAGAAGCATAGTAATAATTAATCTAATTAATTTAACCGAAGTGAAATGAATAATTTATACGACAACAAATGAGCGACGAATAGGTACACCAAAGCAAAATTAATAATTCGCTATTCGGGATACTGTGAAGCTTAAAAAGCATAGCATTAGCTTTAGCCAAGGTATAATCCATTTTGATGGAGCAAGCGTAACGACATTTTTAATCATGTATTATCATAAATTTAATAAGCCGGAATTGGAAGGTAAATCTGCGGCACGGGATAAAATAAAAAATTCTTGCCTGTGCCCGGTATTGTCATCGGTTTTTGGTTTGTAGAAGCGAAGGAGTCTAATACTCGCTGCTGGATCAGCTATATCTCTGAAAACGTGTGCAAATCTAAACTCTACAAGTCTTCTAAATAATTCTAGCCGATGCATGGTCTGGCAATTTTTTTTTTATAATTACGTTAGTCGGTATATTGTGGTCATAAGCGATTTATTTATTAATTTCTTCAGTAAATCAAGCGTTCACTCTAAGTATTAATATAAGTGCTATTTTTTATTAGTGACAAAATTTTTGAGTTCAAAACAACTTTTTAATTAATAAAAATAATAAAATTTTGTTTTTTTTTTATTTTTTTATTTTTTTTAAAGCGAAGAATCCAATACTCACGATTCGCCAATATTCCTCGTTGTCAAACCTCCTAAAAAATAAGTTATTAAATAATATTTTGTACTATTGTTTCATTAATTGTGGATAAATTAAAAATTGTTTAATTTTATGTTTGAATTAATTCTAATAGCGCGCCAAATTAGTAAATAAATTTCTTGGGAATCCCTAATAGACAGTAGTCACTAAAAGTATAGTTAAAATAATTATTAATAAAAAAAATATACAGTAAAATTATGGAATCTTAAAAAATAAATAAAAGTTTCTTGAATCGTTTGGAATGTCAGTCTTTAAATAAAAAAGGGTTTTTTATATATTAAAAAACAAATGTATTCGTTTTCTTTTATTTTATTTCAAAAAATCATATACTTATTTTTATAATAATTATAATAATATCGTAATAGCAATGAGTTAAATTTATAACTTATTACACTATAATTTTAATAATTGATTTCTTTATGATTTTTTATATATATTTATAATAATTTCCATTTGAAACATTACAATTATTGATTCACTTTATTAGGGTAGTTTTTTTCTGCCTATTGCATTGTATCTACAATTACTGATACAAAAAATGCCATTTTTGGTTAAACATTTCAATAATCCAACCCAACAATCCTTTAAAATTTAATCATTTCAAATATTCGTTAATTTATTAATTTTTTTTTTTTTTATAGTTAATAACTTCAATATTAATATGTTATCGGAAACATGTGCCTGTAAATTAATGTAATTATAAATACACTGTAATAACAAAACCGTAAAGTAGAATTAATCAGTAATTAATTTCCTGATAATTATGGTCAGTAATAAATTTACGCTTCAGTAACTTTTGTTGAACCATGTTACAGTAATTAACTAATGAAGTAATGCTGTAAAAATGAATTTTTAATTGAACGGTACTTTATGAAGTGAATTACATTATTAAAACTTATTTATGATAAATATGTATACTCCATTGTATGGCCAACGATCATGCTTTTTATTTTTATTTTTTTAAATTTATTCATTCATTTATATATATATATATATATTTATTTTCTTTCAATAATATGGTATCCATTGAGTACGAATTTCTACAATCTTTATCTTCATTTTTAATTAATCAATTTTATTAAAGCGAGTTACTCTCCCCATTATTTTAAAATTAATAAAATTATTTATTTTAATATTTGCATTATAAATAATAATTATTAATGCGAACATCCAAAATATAAGTATAAATACCATTATATTTAATTATCAATAATATATAATTATAATTATTATTATAAAAATAATTATAATATGGAATATTAATTAATAATTAAACAATTTAAGTAGAAGTCTATCTAACTTCGCAAATTTTAATAATTATTAATGATAATTAAAAACGAAAAATAAATGGTAATGTACGATAATTAATTTTTGTACATTCAATACATTAACGTTAATATCTAATTGAAAATTACCCGAGCTTACATTATTTATTTATTCATTGTTCATTACATATATGTTAATATATTTATAATATTTTATTATATATTTTTTTATTTTTTTATAATTTATAATATATTCACTCCAACAAATATATTTACTTTTAATTATAAAATGAATGGAATAAATAATTATCAATGTTTTTGAGTGATACGGTTTAAATACAGGAGAGCATTAAAAGTTCCTCTGTACTTAGGTTCCTTTGGCAGTGATTAATTATGTTTTTTGTTACGTATTTGGACCTGTACTATTTTTAAAGAATGTTAAAATTTTTTTAATTAAAAGCGATTTTGAATGTCAGCTTGAATTTTTTGTACCAAAATTTAAACCACGATGCTCTTGATCTTGAATCACTCATAATAAAATCATTTTTAATTATTTTCCAAAGCTCAAATAATTATTGATTTATTAATTCTTTTTATAATAATAATAATGATCACGAATGATTATTATTTTATTTAAATACGTCAATTGAAAACATCTAAAATTTATGTTTGTAATCAATTAATTTATTAATATTATTATAGTTATAATTAAAATTATTTAAATCTTCAATCTTTACTTACTCATATCTTCTATATAGATATCGTAGTACGCAACCAACAGTTCTAATAAATTTTTTTAATTCGTCAGTATTTAATTAATGTTTAATATTTATTTTTAAATATGAATAACGTCATGTCTGCGGGCAATTGAAATGCAAATACTCAATTCATCAAATAATAAATAAAAAAAAAAAAAAAATAATAATAATAATAATAATAATAATTGTTTCTTCATTTAATTATTCATTGAATAATTGATTAATTGCAAACCGACTGCCGTTGACACATATAATCATATTTATATTAATTATCACTATTACTTCGGTTTCGTACCACAGTATTTATAATATTTATAGTATTTATTTATTCATTCATTCATATATATTTATATATATTTAATATTTATATACAATATATATGTAGATAAAAAAATTGACAGACAGATCCTTTGAACAAATAATATACTTTGTTTCCTAGCATGAGATCGTTTTCCCAATGGAATTAAATACTGTCGCTCAAATTGTATTGGGCTCGTGCATAGTAGTGAGACGCCTGGAGAATCGATGCCGTAAAAAGAATCTGTCACGTCTTTGCTGTTTTTAGTATAATGGTAATAGTAATTGAAAAATTTTACTCTAAACGAATGTTAATTCAGCAACATCTGATAAATTTAAAGCGTAAAAAAATTCTAATTTACATTTAAACGTCATATTTAAATGAAATAAAACTTTTTTTTTTCTTCAATTGAGCAGATAAATGACATTACAAAAGTACAAAGAAGATTATTGTCCACTTAATGTGATTAATTTAAAACTACTGTTGTGTAATAAAAAATTTTATATTAATGAAATCGATAAATTAACAATTTATATTGTTTAAAATTGAAATGAAAAATTAGTTATACGAAAATTATGTTTTGAAAATTTCAAAATATAATAATTAAAAAATGATTCCAATTATTTAAATAAATTAAAAATTTCATTAACTATTCTGTTAAATGTTAGCTTTTCGATTTATTTTTATTAAATTTTTTATTACACAATTTATATTTTTAATATTTCCATTTGATTTATTTAAAAATTAAGCTTGCAATATAAATTCAGTTGATAAATTATTTACCAAAGTTTTATTTGAATAATTACTTTTACTTTATTTAAATAAATTTCGTATTTTCATTTACAACGTACAAAACGGCAGTTATTTAATCGTTAATCATTATTTTATCAAAGGTAATAATAGTAATAGTAAATGACAATAGAAATTATTAATAGTAATCAATAGGCATCAAAATTACAATAGAAAAAAAAAATACATGAAAAAAAATTATTAATTATTACAATACAATAATTATGGAATGTCTTGTTAATTATATTAACAACATATATCAAATATCAATACTTTTGTTATGTTTCTTTCAGTTTTATAAATACTGTGCACGTAACGTTTTTGTATTTTATATATAAAAAGGAACCAATTATTCATTTCTTCAAAGAATGACTTTACAAAATCAAAATCAGTCATTCGCAAGTAATTTAACTTTTGTCTGTAGATTTCTCTAAAATATGAGTAAAAAATTTACTTCATCACATACAATCTTATTTCACACACTCAACATAAATTACATTTTTATAAAAATGCTCGTTACACCAGTAATCAAAAATAAACAAAAATTATTATGATTTTTTCAAACGTTACGTTAGAGATTCAATAATTTCAAGTAAAGATCTTTCTCTTAAATATAATTACCAAGAATATTATCAAAAAATACATAAATAATTAATACTTAACAGTAATATTAATATTAATGAATATTATCAATTAATACAAGGAAAAAAAAAAAAACTAAAAATTTTAATTATCTCAAAATAAAATGTATCTCTTGGTATTAAATTACTGAGGCTCGGAATATGCCGATTGGCTTTAAGAATTAAATTATAAATTTAATTATAATTATTAACTACAACTAGTTAGAATAATATTAAATTAAAGTATGAAAAAGAAAAAAAAAAAGAATATTAATTTAAATATTAATATTAATAATCGCGCTGATCGATCTCTTTACCGAACACATTTACAAAAAAAACAGCTGCCTCAATACAATCAGTCTATAGCGATTAATTAACATTAGATCTGTTCTTCAATAAAATCTTGACAAAATATTAATTCAGAATAATGTTTATAATTATTGATATTATTTAATAATAATTATTAATCCAGGCGGCTGGTTACTTGTAAAGCCTCTTTATCATAATAAATCACAAAGAGATCGTCGCGATCGGTATCAAATAAAACGTCATTCTCGCGCATGTACTTATTTATTATTTATTTGTATTATTATTAACATTAAATATTAATATTATCAATATTATTATTATAATATTTATTTATTTATTTACTTCATATATAATTTATTAATTAAATTATTTACTCTTATTAAAAAATGCAGGAGAATGACGTCTTAGTTATAAGTTACAATTCTTAATCTAAAAATGGATTAAATCCAGTACAGCAGAATCAAAAGTGGCGCACTTTGTCGTTGATAGTATATAAATTATTATCGAGCGACGATAACGAGTGCGGTTAATCAGCACGTACTAATTAATTATTTAATTTATACTGGTGTGTCTGTTTTTTCGTCCTTTCTTTTGATGTCCTTAATCTCGGTGCGTCCATTAACGTACTCGGTGCTCGCGTGAATGGGGTTCTCCTGACCACCATGAGGTATTTTTTCGTCGATAATATGCTGATTGTTGTGCTCGTCGTCCTCGTCGTCACCAGGTGTTATGTGCGCTTCACTTCCGGCTCCAGCGTTACCCGCAGCTTCTTCATCACCACGTCGTCTCGCTGTAACAAGCAACGCCAATCATCGGTCAAGGCAATTTTGTGTGAATTTATATTAATTATTACTAATTAAGTTTATATATTTTTACAAGTATAATCATTTATATTCATGATTGTATTTGTTTTTTATTTTTATTTTCATTTTATAATGAATTTATTATATTTTAATATATATTTAAGACTTTTTAAATACATTTATTAATTGTTTTGGTTTTATACCGAGTGTAATCGGTTTTTAATGTAAAAAAATAGTTCCAAAAATTATTAAAAATTTATCATGATATTTTATGCTATAAATTTTATACTGTCTCTCTGGATATGACAGTATAAATTTTTATACGAAATATTATGCTCTACAAAATTGTTCCTTTTTTATTTATTAAATTAAGACATTTAAAAATTATAGTGAATAAATAATCACATTCATATTAATAATTCAATATAAACATGACTCAATTCATTATAATTTTTAAGTGCATTATTTTAATAACAAAATTCATACGAACAATTTGTAGAGCCTAAAATTATACATAGCTGACTTTTCATCAGCTCTAAGAAAAATTTTACGTAGAAAAATTCAAATAATTAAAAAATGAATGATTCTACTTTAACTATTAAATTTTTTATATTAAAAACTAATTATTTTCGATACAAGCAAAAAAAATAATTGTTTTTCTAAATAGTCTTACATTTATATACATTAACTATCGTGTAAATACTATTTAAATATAATTGTGCAGATCTAATGCATGCGAATATTTTATTAATTATTCAATGTGAATGAAAGATCAGTTTTTGATGATTTTGTGCAATTAAAAAAAATTATTCCAATTTCTTTATATATCTCATTATGAACATAATATAAATATATTGCGATTCATATGTATGATCCTCGGTATGTATGAATAAGGGATCAAGCGGCAGTGCTAATAATTAACGATGATGAATCACTGAAAAAATAAACTATACCATGCTAGGGTTGAAATGATTGATAAGTTTTCTATGAGCATTACAGAAAAAATTCAAAAGGTAAATAATAATAATAAAAAGTCTAAAATAATCACACTTGCCTTCGTTGATAATTAGCGGTTGCTTGTTACAACAATTAATAATACGTTAAAAAAATAATTAAGTATAATTCTCTATGGACTTATTTAATTTCATTTCTACGAAAGCTTCTATTGTAATTGAGTGTATGTTTTTTTGGATGGTTTAAGCTGCTGCGCTTGATGCATGCGATTTTTGTATATTTTTACTTTGTTGTAAAATCCATATTTAATATAATAAGGTGACGTAGTTTGTTATGAGCATGGATTTTCGTTGAATTTAATTACGTTGAGGCTTCTCGTTGGAAAGGTCTATGCAATTACTGTCCAGATTAATTTTCGGATATGAATTCACTATTTTACTAACTTTAAGTGATTAAGAAGAACAATTAATCAAAATAACCTTTGGAAAAATTTTATGGTTCTTATTCTTAATTAAAATTACAATAATTTTATTTTTGATGGCAATAATTTAAAAGATAATTTTTTTTATTTTTATCAAAAAAAATTTTATATTAAAAAAAAAAGATTTTTCGGTCAACTAAAAGTCAAAGCTTAAGATTAGTATTATTTTAGTAATTTAGCGTACAAAATCTCTCTTGAAGCAGAGTAGTGAAAAATTTTATTATAAATAATGCATATTCATGAATTCATACTCAGAAGTGTACTACTAATTTGAATTTTAGAGATTAAAAGAGATTTGCATTATTCTTTTCAAAAACAGTCTTCTTAATTAAACCAAATGAAAAATATTTTTAATGTTTAGAATATGCCAATGCTCTGTCTGTTAAAATTTTTGCATCGCCACAAGAACTTTAATAGCCGAAATTTAATGTAATTCATTATTTAATGGTAGTAAATTAATCAGTTAATTAAAATGACAAAATCTCTTTATAAGGTTTGAATGAAGTATAATGTTTTCAAATTTATTCATAGTTAGAATCAAAAGAAAAACGTTGAGATGTAAATTAGTTTGTACCGCGCTTGTGAACCACAGTTAAAAATTTAATATGATTAATTAGAGTAACAATTTTATTTTAAAAGTTTTGCATAAAATTGCATTTATTAAATTGAAATTGTTCAATTAAAAAATAAAAATTTAAATTATCATTTGATAGTTTTTTAGATTATACAATCGGGGTTATTTTTCCATCGGTTATTTTGAGAATTAGGTGACTGGTATCTAAAAAATAATAATAAAAAAATTGGTAAAGTGCCGGGTGATTCTAAGGGTCTTTAAAAAAAATGTAAGTGAAATTCAAAACACGGATGTAAAAAAAAAAAAATATACTGAGAGATGAATGATATGACGAATTGTTCGCGGTTTTGAAGGGTTTGTCGAAAATGACTTACCCTTGGACAGTGTCATGCCTAGAGTACGGATACTTATGATTTATGGTGTTGTGTCTCCGTATTCTTTACTTGGCCCGACTTGCATGCTGTCCTATTATGGTGTAGCCGCATAACATACAAGAAATTGTTTTCAAAATAACTGATACATTTCTTATTTCCTCTTTGATACCAGTTCTGATACGAATACGTTTGTTTACAACTTTTATTATTTTATTATATATTATATTATATTTTCTCAGTTTTCATCAATTCAATAATAAATTCTGATTTAGTTATTTATTTTATGTAATAATATTTTAGACTGACTTCCAAACGTTTAAATTCGCATGGAATTATTTTACTTTTTCGTTGTATTAGTAGTAAAAATTTTAAGATTATTGTTAATAAATAAATAATGATATTAATTAATTGTTATTAACTAAAAAATAAATAAAATGAGATTCTCACCAGCAAAACACCAGCGTCCAGTCGCTCGTGCAAAGATGATCAAGAATGAGAGTACAATTATTACTAAGATTCCTACGACGATTCCAATTATGTATCCTGCATCTAAATCAACTCCTGTAAAAGTCAAATATTTATTAATTTATCCACAGATATTATTAATTAATTATCTATAAATATTTGTCTAAGCACAATTATCTAGCACAGCAGACGAGACAAAAAAATAAATAATGAAAATAAAATTTTTATTCTGTGATAAAATATTTGTTTGAAAAAATTATAAATGAGTTTAATGGTAATGCATATAACTTTATGGAAGATCTTAATTTTAATGATAAATAAAAAATATTGATTAATAAATAAAAACGGGATATTTACGGGTAATAAAAATTATATTTAAAAATAGTTATTACCTAGTGCGTGCATGTGTTCGGAGAGCTTACCATAGAAGTGAATGAGCGCTCCTGCGTGAGCATGCGGCGAATTTATTTGCATTTAGTTTAGACATTTAATAATTTATGTGATTGCTTTATAAAAGTAAACAATTTAATACACAGCATGTGATTCGTGCCGGAGTGATACTTTTTTTTTCACAAAGTTGTTAGTTGAAGCAATTTTTATGTTGAAGCAAATTTTTTTTTTTCAACTAGTGCCATAAGTAATTTTAAAATTATCAAGTTTAAAAAAATATTAACTGAATGATTCATTTTTATTATCACACGAAAAAAGTTAAGATTAAATAAGAATATTCATAAAAATAAGTAGAAAATTCTATTTTATATTTTTCAATTTTTCTAGTATGATAAAAATAAAAAAATTTTCCTTTTTTATAAAATCGTTCAATCATTTTAAAAGATTAAAATTTTCTGGACCTTTTAGCGTAATTTTTCTGTGGTTAATTATTTAAAAAAAAAAAAAACTAAAATTCACCCGAGACAATTTAATGGCACTAGTAAAATATTGTTAAATGTATAAATATAAAAAAAATAATACATATTTGTATTTACCTTCAGGTTCAGCAGAGGTTGAAAGCAAAATGCGGTATTCTTCAGCTCCCTCATCATTACGTGCTTCCAATTTATATTCTTTTTCCGTATCGGACTTCTGTACACTGTCGATCTTGAGCTCAAGTCTCCATTCACCCTTGGCCTATTAATTCCCGAAAAAAATAAAACAGAAAAATAAATAAAAACAACCAACAACAAAAATAAAAACCAAGTAAGGAAATTAAATTGGAAAAACTTTTCAAAAAAAATGAAATTCAATCGATGGCTATAGATTAAAGTAACGCGAAAATGAAAATAAAAGTCTAGAGAGTTTCCCGGAAAAATAGTACTTTGACGTGGTAGAGGATTTTCCACGATTGCGTCTAGTCTGCTAAAGCAACCAAGCACGCAACCCTCATACCAGATTAAAGCTACGTCCGCTTCAAAGGATTATTAGATTTTCGGCTTTTCCATACTACTAATTTAATCAATATACATATATATACATATAATATACATACATACATATTGACCGAAAAAATAATTAAATTAGGAAATAAATGAAATAACAAATTTACCACTTCGACGGCGCTTGATGATTGCAAACGATTGCTCATGTCTGGGCTTCCTTCATTTATTTTGTCACCGTTGATGTACCAGATGAAACGTGGTCGTGGATGGGCTTTCACAGTCAAGTTTATTGTTCCTTCGCGTCCAATTACGAATCCAAATAATTCAACAGGAGGTTGTGGTTGTGGTGCATCTTTAATTAAAAATTAATCAATGAGTTTTATTTTATATTATAGTCACTAATTAAATTTGTTCAGACACGACATATAGTTAGAGCAATTCCTTATTTTTTTATTCCCTAATATTGCTTTCCTTACAAAATATCGCTAACTCACTTTTACTCTTAGTTATTTTATAAATAAAAATTTTTCTTTCAAGATAATGAATCTCTTGATTAGAATAATTTTTAAAAATTTTAATAAATTTACAAGAAGCAATTTATATAAATAAAAGAGATTACTTAACATAAATGTGTTCTATAGACTATATGTTAAAAGTTCGATTTTTAATAATTAATTAAAAAAAAAACTCTTTATGAGATTCTTTTAAAAAAATTATTCCATTCGTATTTACTACACTGAAAAAAAAAATTAACTTGATTCAAGAGAAAAATTCTTGACTCAAGAATATAATTTTGAAGAGGATAATTGTCCTGAATCAAGACGAAAAATTCTTCAATCAAGTAAAATTTTCTTAAATCTAGAAAAATTTCTTTAAATCAAGAATTTTTCTTCAAAATTATATACTTGATTCAAAAACATTTTTTTTCTGTGTTATAAATTTAGCTTTTTATCTTAAAATTGTTTTAATGTCCGATCAAACTTAATATTAATATAAACACTTACAGTGAACTTCAAGTTGGCGAGTAGATTCTTGAGGGCGGTCTAAAGCCAAATGATGAGCTATACAACGAACCATTTTACCGTTGTCACTTGATTTGATAGTGTAAGAAACATTTTTAGCTGCAAGCGTATTTTCATTGCCGTTGGAATCATAAACGTTTGATCCAAATTCTCTTTCCAGCGGTTGATCATCTATTAAAAATTGAAATAATTAAATTTATTTTTTATTACAATAATAATTATAAAATTTTTACACATAATATATAATACAAAATTGATAAATTACCAAGGAACAACGAAACATTAGCAGCAGGACGACCGCCTAATGAACTGCAACTTATTTCAAGTTTTTCTCCATTTTTGTAAACGTTCCGGCCAGAGAGTCTTCCAGGGCTCAGCATCAATTGAAGCGCTTTTGGCGGTTCTGTAATTAAATTTTTATTAATAATTTTTTATTTAACTGCAATAAAATAATTGATAAGATTATACTTACTGGCAACGACGATCTTCACAGTATTGTCGACTTCGGTTCGGCTGCCGTTAGTGGTGATAGCGCACAAAAATTTCCCATCAAATTCTTCTTTTACGCGCTGAATGTAAACACCGCACTGTCCAGTTTGCAGCCCATCGCCGTAGTATTCGATTCCGTCATTAGCATTCTGATTAGGTTGTAAAAACATACTTTTCATACTGGGAATTTCAATTCGGCAGTACTGAACAGGTAAACCCACTCGACACATGATCTTCAGAGGTTCGCCTACTCGGACTGCAACCTGCCCCGAAGGCTGGATGTCAACTGAGCTGCTGGCTCCTGTTTAGCAAAAAATTTACTCAATTAATAATTGTGAAAAAAATAATTACAAAAAAAAATACTATCAAAAATTATTTAAAAAAATTCCAAAGTTGATTGCAGTTAAAAATTTATTTTTTTAAAATTTTATTCCACAATTGCACGACTCATGATGCGAAGCATCAGAGAGTGCTTTACGATTGAAAAATTTTTTTCGCCTCATTTTGGCAACTATTTTCATTAGTATAACCTTATTAGTTCACGAAATCAAGATATTTTGCATACTATTGTCGAGATAATTTAATGGAGATTAATTCCATACTTTTCAAAAGTTGATTTAGTGCAATAGAAACGGAAAAAAATATCAAAATAGGTAAAAAAATTTTCCTGTCCGTCATGTATGAAACTCCGGAAATACTGTAACTTGTGAAAAAATCCATTATTTGAGCTAATTTTTTTTTTTTTTAAATTCTAATCGACAATTATAGGTCACCGAATGTGAATGGCTAATTAATTCAGTGTCGTTTAATTACAATTAATAAAAAACGAAAACTACAAGACTGTATATCTATATATATCCATGTAAAATTAACATGGATGGTGATATATCTATATCTATAAATATTATGTACATTTATTCCACCAGGGGCGCCTGTAGATTACCTTCCTAGTACAGCTGTTTTTTTTAGTGGTTTTATATATTTTTTGTCACATTCTTTATTTTATTAATATTTCATAATTTGTAACATAAAATCTAGTTGTATACGCTCCTGGCAAGAACATTTTGGACTTAAACAATTTAATTCAATTTAATTTTATTCTAACATTTTCTCCTATATATCGTTTAGTTTATGCCTCTAACACATTCTTTAATATTGATAACAGCCTTGATGTTTATGTGATAAATAATATAGATTCTTTTGCGAAACTATGTTTGTCAAATAGTCACTGATTCAGTGTATCCTATTTAATTTAATTATTTAACAATCTAGGTTTGACTTTTAGTCCAAACATGGTCTTACTACTACTAATTACTACACATAAGCTTTATTATAAAAATATAATTGTTATTTTTTTTTTTTCTTATGAAACCCGCTTATTGGCATTGCTGTAGGGTTCAATGAACTGTTAAATAAAATAAAATAAAATAATTAAATGAGCATTATGAGTCGTGCACTTTTGGATTTTCCAAACTTTTTTTTTTATGACTTAATAAATTATGATTGTAAATAAATAAGTAAAAATGAACATGAATGAAATAATGAAAGTTGAAAGTGAAGTTACTTAAGTAGCGGAATGAAAACAGGAATGATGTAATGTTTTTATAAGTGAAGAGAAGCAAAGACGCAAGTGACTAGACGAAGGATTTACGAGAGGTAAGTTGTGCAAGGATAAGGATGGTAGAAGGTTATTAAAGCTCAGGAGCTTCCTCTTCTAGATCTCCTCTATCCAGTTGAATAGCTTGCGTGCCATCACGAGAGAAAATAAAGTATATGAATTTATATATATATATATTATATACGTACAAGTGTATTGCACGGAAAGGGAGATCGTTAGGAATACTCTTAGCAAGATGTGCACTTTCATTCATCATAACAACAGCAAGTGGCTCGTTGTTGCGTTGTTACTTGCGTATCTATACAGTCGACAAGAGAATTTAAGTGTACGAGAATGGAATGTTTGTGTAGAGGAGTATGGGATAATGTACATTTGTATTTATATATAAAATAGCGCGAGAGCTTTGCTTGAATAGTTTAAGGAACGAATGAATGAGCAGAGTGGGAGAAAATGCACAAGCATCTAGATTTTAGATTGCCAGTACAGTTTTGCATTTTCACCGAAACTTGTAACAACTGCCGTAGTACGTTGAATAATTACTTGTAGTTGTAGTTGTACTCGTAGTAGGAGTTATAGTACGAGAATTGTCCATAAGTGTGTGTAAGAGCTCCCGTAGTCCCGCAAAATGGATAACAAGGAAAGGTACATAGAGCGGCGCAAGAGCCTCCTCATCCAGAAAGGGAACACACCCACCCATCGTGAACTAAAGGGGCCACGGCTTTACGCCGCGATTGTAAATGAACAAAAGTTTCGACATGAAAACTCTAATCCTCGTTCGAGTTTTCGTGTTAAGTGTTACAAGAGTGTTATGTTGGTTTTATTTGTTATTTTATGAATTACTCTACTTGCACTTATTGCATTGAATGTAGAATTACTTTTTTTTTCTTTTTCAATAAGAATCTATTTCAACTGGAGATATTTGAAAGTTTTTCATCTTTTTTTACCATCGACTTTATCAATTTTAATTTCCGTGTTGAAAATCGCGTTTACTAAGTTAAAAAAGTGGGCTTTTTTTTTTAAATATAAAAAAACATGCAATATATTTAATTTTAGAATTTTTTAATATTTTACAAACTATCATTGAACTTAATTATTTTATTTTTTTCAAGTAACAGATTACAGAAAAATGTTGAGGTTCAAACCAATAAAGTTTATAATTAAAAAATTGAGTCACAATAAATTTTTTTATTTATTTAATCAACTATATTCATTAAAAGTATTGAATTACTTGAATTAAAAAAAAAGTTTTTGTCTCTATTAAATATCGAACCGACGCGAGAATCGAACCCTAACCTCCCGCGTAGAAGATTCATGGCTACTATTTATTGGCAACACTTCAATTATTCGATTCTCTGAATTATTAAAAGTTAATATTCTAAATTAAATTGAAATTTTTTAATAAAAAATACGTATTCAATCCATTTATCTCGTGATTTAATAAGTGAACCTTTTAAAAATGTATTATCTAATAAATTTGCGGTATTAATGTATAAAATATAGATTTTTGTGACATAAAATTTTAATAAAAGGGTTAGTTAGTAAAAATAAGGTATGATTCAATTTAAAAATAGTATGAAAAATAAAAGAACATGTACATTGAATAAAACGGGACCCGAGATATAAATGTAATTTATGATTCATAAATGAGGTTATAGGTAGGGTTTTAGTTATGTATATATTCATCGATAATTGTTTTATTGTGCTGGGGAAGCTTTTGAAGTAAACGAGAAATTGTAAGCTAGGTAAATTTGCTATATCGAAACTCCATCACACCCGGACCGCGGTCAGTAGGAATTATTATTCCAGAGCAAATAGTCGGTGAAAGTTAGCAATTGTTCGTTTGCAGCGGCAGTTAGTCAGCTATTCAGAACGTTTGCTGCGAGATAAAACGTGAAAAATAACGATAGGCTGTGTACTACAATTTACATAATTTATTGTTCGCTCTGTGAATTGTAATGAATCTACAGTCGTGTTCCTGTCTGATAAAATTTGTCTGCTATTTACTCTTAAAATTGATACAGCACAATATTTCGGGGTCATTTACTTTCTCAGATTTTACCGGAAATTATAAGTATCATCACAAAAACAACAATTTTGGGAATAAAGCTCAATTTATACTAACGATAACTGATACAATACAATTAATTGAATTTTGTACAAAAATAATAGCAGGTAGACTGAATTGTATTGAGTAATGAATAGATTGTAAAATAAATAAAGCAAAGTCATATTGTATGTGTATATATAAATAGACGGTACAGACTACTCTGTTTATATTTCTCGGCTTAGTATTTTCTTTCATCGATCTTATACTTTATTTGGTTTCAATCTTAGCTCGCACAGATGAGCAAATTTTAATCTTATCAGCTTCCACGAGTAACGCCGAAAGGCAACTGAGATCAGAGTTATTGTGTTTATATTTTATTCTCTGAGATTAATTGAACGAAAAAAAAATATTACCAGTTCAGTACCTATTATTATTTTCAAATAAAAGAGAAGTTGATTTTACAGTAATTTGTATTGTACGTGTATGAAATTTCAGTACAATGTTGACAAATTCTAAAAATTTTATTCATCGATTGGATTTATGAAAAATTTTATGCAAACAAAAATCCGTGTCAATCATTTTTTACCTCAATTCGTCATAATCTACACGGAAAAAAAATTGAAGGAATTTTTACTATTTCACTATCGTAATTTTTATTAAATTAAATAGTAACGGTGGACTGTACTTCTCATTTAGTAATTTTTACGATCTACTATTGTAAATTTTATCCAACAAGCAAGACTAGCAAGAAACTTAAAAAGTCGAATAATATAGAGCAAATTATACAATATGTGTTTGTAAACTTTACAATTCAACTATTGTAAAAATTGACAGTCGGTTTTTTTAAAAGAAATTTTAGGGAGGGGGAGAGATAGGAGGTTGGACTAATTGGTACCAATACAGTAACCGAAGAAAAGAAAGCGGAATTTTCGTCCTACCCGGGAATCGAACTCAGAACACTTTTTTGGCATCCAGAGACTCTCCCTCTACGCTATCCGAGGTAAACTAGTACCCATGTCCCACGGCCATCACACACACTAATTGACAAACACTCCAATTCAACCATTGTAAAATTTGTTATAGTTCTATTGGAAAGATACAGAGGCAGCACTCGAAATTTTAATTCTTACTTTTTACAATAGTAATATCGTATTTTTTCTAATCGCAAATTGTAAAATTTCATGAATAAATAGTAAATTTTCTTCTAAAATATTTGAAAATTAATAGTAATAAAAGAATAGTCCAGCTTTACAATAGTTGTATCGTAAATTTTCCCAGAAATTTTTTTCCGTGTAGCCACGAAACTTGCGCTGTTATTTTTCTATCTACTCAACGAATATTGTTGACTAACAAATATACCATTTTCTGGTATATCGAATTTTTCGATAAAATTGACATCGCACTATCATTCGATCACTATCATTTCCACCGAGTTTACTTCTTGATGCGAGGACTTTATTTTGAATTTTATCTATGTATTTTTCTATTCACCATTACCGACGTATTGTGTATGCGAAAAACGACGAGAGCATGCGCGATGACTGGTGAACACAGCAAAAGAGAATGATTAAGTATTTTGCTGTGTAACATATCACATATCTCTCATATGAAAATAAATGAAATAAAAAAATTATAAGGATGAAATATTATTTTAGTAGTATAATAATAAAAAAAAAAAAAATGACGAGTTAATGGCTGAAAAAACTTTCGGAAGATTAATCCACTCATTCTGTTCACTAAAATGATTCAAGTAAATTGCTTTGGCTCGACGCTCCGTGCATAACTTGATAAGCCACCAACTAATCGATCCTAGCTGTGAATATACCATTCATACACTGAAAAAAAAGTTTTTTTATACCCGGAATACTGAATATTTTTTAGTCGAGTTTTCTTGTACGAAGTAAAAGTCAAGTTAAATATTTTAGATTTAAGAAAACTGGTATTTTAAATCTGAGAATACCAAGTTTTTTAACAGGACTAAAACTAAATTCTATGTTACCATAGCAACCGTGACGGTGGCGCCACTATTTTGTCATTTCCCTCCAATCTACAGTGTACGCGTGTTTTTGAGTTATTAGTTTACCTCGTGCCTGAGTCTACTTACCTAAATATTAATTTGTGTAAATTAAATATTTTATAAATTATAAATAAAAGTATTAATCATCAATATTACTTCCCCTTACTCCCTTACTAATATGGATTCTTGGATGCAAAAGAAGTTGTCAGAATGAAATTTATCATCTCCAACAAATTTATAACTCATTGTAGCAATACATTCTTTCCTTATAATCAACTTTTATAATAAGGTAAAAGACCCAGCTATTTTCACTGGCCTAGTTGTTTGACACTTGCAATTCTATTCTAATTAAAAAAATAAAATGTTCTCAAAAAACAAATTATCTTAAAATTTATAATTCAAATATAATGTTTATTAAATTATCAGAGTTTTTAATTAAAATAAAATTGCAAGTGTCAAAAACTAGGTCTTTTACCTTAGTAATGTTATTAATTATAAAAAGTATAGTTTCTCATAATTATCTATCCTAAAGATTCGTGTCGACCAAGCGAGGTTAAGTCGGCCATATTGATTGTAGTATTATAATAATGAGAATCCGAACAAAAACAGTTTCACTGTAAAAAAA